AAAGAAAAGATGCGTTTTATTTGACAAAGCGCCAGTTGTTTAAATTCAACCAGAAACTGCATCGTGTCGTTAAGAACTTAAGGATTTGGGTAAGGTAACAACCCCATCCGTCGTGATTCTCGAACAAGGTGCGGCCGGGAAATAAACCTTCAATATATATATATATATATATATATATATATATATATATATATATATATATTGTTCGCGGCATCAGGTTTCGGATTTACCTGTCGCTGTGGCCAGCCACAGGACGTCTGCACCTACAGAGGGACCATGGAAGGCTTGCGCTGCACCACCCACAGCTCCAACCACACACCCCATATCCAGTGTAAACACGAAGGAATAAGACCGGGAGGCATGTAGATGGGAGCCACGTTTCATCAACGGAGCCGGCCCACATTAATTCACAGGCAAACACAAGCACGCTGTATTTGAGGAATCAAGCGCACACAAGCGGTAATTGGACCGTATTCCGCTCCACACTGAGTGCATGGAACCACTCAACGAGCCTAGCATGACCACAAACGCAGTGCACCCCGTCCCTCCAGCAACCACCAACTGTCTCCTGGAGCCAGATGGACGAAGTAGTGGGTAATAGACAGGTAGGCACCTTGACAACATGCACATCAAGCGCAGCCACACCGGGAAAATCAAGAAACAGCAAGTCACTTGAAACGACAGAATGAGATAAACTAAATCGGTGAATGCATACAGATACGGAGACATAACTCTTCAATATATGAGTGCATAGAAAAATTATTACGAACGAATCGGCCATAAGTTCAAGAGGTCAGCAAACATATTTTAAGGAAGTGCCACAAACACAAAAATGTTAACGAAATTAACTACAAGTGGTGTCAGCAAGGTGTGCAACTTTCTTGATCATAGTACAGGTAGGAAATAATATGAGAAATAAAATAATTAGGACAAGACTGAATGCCCACCATCTGAAATAAAAGGACTTAGTATGCAAACACACGGTTAGTAAATGGAATGCAGTGTACGGCAAAACGTCGCGCCGGTTCTGCCTACGTTCTCTGCAGAACCCGTCGTCGCTTCGGTGGTAGTCCCCAGTCGCCTCGCTCATGGCTCACTAGGCCTGCCTGACTAAGGTAACCGTGACCGCATGTGCTACAACACCATGCGCTCGATGTCAATGGAGTACAACCTATGGGCGCCTGCCGCTTCCGCACTTGCCGCTTCTTCTCTGCATGTATGAGGTTTTCTCCCGCACTTCGGCAACTGCCTTCGTAATCAGATCGCGCCATGTACGCCGAGCAAACGGTTTCGATTCCCATGACCTGCAATCAAGCTTAGAACGTTAGGAGCTCAATTTGATCATGTCCTAGTAACGTAAGTTTGGTTTTCCCACATGCCGCTTCCCAATACTCAGCTGACCATATAAGAGTAGTTCCGGTATCCGCGTCGAATCTACACTGTTCACATGACCGAGCCACCTCAGGTGTCTCAGCAAACGTTTGCAGTCCACTGCATACATTCCACGTTGTCGAAGCACCTCCGAGTCTGCAACTCTGTCGCCCCATCCGATGCCCAAAATCTGTCGCAAACACTGTGGATGTAACGACTGTAGATTTCGCACATCCCGCCTGTATATCGTCCACGTTTCACTGCCGTATAGAAGAATGGACAGCACCATGGATTTGTATACCATCAGCTTCGTGCCAATAGTAAGCTGATGGTAGTTGTACATTCGGCACTCAAACTTCCCGAATGCCGCCGCTGCCTTCGACACGCGGATAGGTAGCTCACTGTGAAGTTGCTGATTAGTCGACATCACACTCCCAAGGTAGAAGAAGCGGGAGATTGTTTCCAATACTTCAGCATCAATGCTGATTCGCGGCAATAGTGAAGATTGCACCTCCGGTGAAGGCTGAAAGAGACAGACAGTTTTGCTTGTGTTGATGGTGAGCCCGAATTTGGCCGCTGTCGAAGCCAGAGCACTAGTCATATGCTGCAACCCATCTGCGCTGTGTAGACAACGCACAGCCG